ATCATGAAAATCTTTGCTCAGAAAGGTTTTGACTGCAGGCTTCCCTGCCACTAAATCTGTCCCTGAATTTTGCTTAAAACTTTTGTTCCTAAAATGTAATATTTGGAGCATCTACAAAAGCATTATCTAGGAACTTGTGATAAATGTACACATTAAAGCCACATCCAGATTGATTTAATCAGAGTCTGCTTTTAAGTATTATCGTTGTAAGATTCATACTACAACAATTTTGAGGAGTTTTGCCCTTAGGAATTCTAATGAACAATTATGATAGAAACCACTACTATAATACCAACAAGAAGTTATGGAAATGCTATCAATTTTCCTTTTTTGAAAGTCAATTTTACCTATGCATATATAATATTAAACGTTCCAAATTCTATGAGAATCTAAATATTTTACTACAAAATAAACAACATGTTTAAAGACAAAAGAGGACTGCCTTACAATTCAAAGTTGAAACAGTCCATAGGATTTCAATTATTTTTTATGCATTTGGGGTTTTATTTCCATTGATTTCACTGTTGCTATTAGTGACATGGCCAAGAGTCTGAACGTGATCCTCTAAGCATTATGGAGTAGCTGATGAAATTTATCAGGGAAGGATATATTTAAGCTACTATGCTGGAAAGTGAAATATGAATGAATTGTTTAGGATCATTTAAATGGAGGATTAAAATAGGTTAGTGATAGAAAAAAATTAATAAAATTAAGCTCAAATTGCAGATGCTGAATGATAATTCTTTTTAGAGACACTTATTTAGTAAGCATTTAATTGTCTACTTGGTGTCACATACTACTTTGGGCACTGCATTGCACTAACTGAAATTATCTATACATAGGTACTTGGCATTAGGCCAAAATGTAAATGTATTTACAAGAGTACAAATTTGAGAAATAATCTATTATTTTCTTTTTCTGTGCAGGTTTGACTGGCAAATCCAATTTCTGCGTGTCTATTTCCATCCTTCACATTGCCATCGTATTTTGCCAAAATCATCAAAAGGCCAAAGTTAGGAAAGATGATTATTTATTGTATTCCCTGTGTTTCATGATAATTGCCTTTATAGTTCATCTTTGATTAGAGAGTTCTAATTTCAACCTGTTAAACTGTTTTCACTACTGCCTGACTAATGAAAATCTATTCTTTCTCGAAAATCAATAAATTTGAAGCATATTCTTCTGTGTACGTTCTTCATTTCTACGTTTCATATTTCATAATTGCATATACCCATTCCTTAATAGCTTCCTTTCCCCAGTTTGAGGAGCACTGATGGAAGCACTTTATTAAGGGGTTCTTTGAAATTGCTTAATTCTAATTTTGTCTGTCATATTTTTTGTCTCACACATATGTGTTCCCCAATGTTGGCTAGATCAGTTGGCCTATGCATGCTAACTTTTGATTTCCTCCTGGTTTCCTTTGTCATAGCACATTTCCTGAGCCTCCAAGGCTTTCCCATCTCAGGCCAAAGGTAATTTCCGCGTGGCAGACACTCAGAACACAAACCCTCCAGTTCCCTCCTTGGGTGGTGTCAACAATGACTTTTGCCCAACAAATATTTCTTGAGAGACACTAGGTGTCGGGCACTGTTCTGGATGCTGCACACACAGTAAGGAATGAAAGAGACAAAAGTCCTGCCTTCAGGGACTGTAGTTGGGAGATGCAGACAAAAAGTAAACAAATAATATATAGTATCTCAGATTATGATAAATTGTGCTATGAAAGCAAAAAGCAGGGCTATACGCAGGGACAATTTTAAATAGGACACTGAACAATAGCCTTGGTATAGTGGCCATTTAAAAAACATATACTAAGTATGGGAGTGAGCCTGGAGAAAGTAATTTTGAAGTAGAAGAAAGAGCAAGTGCAAATTCATTTTGGTAGAAAAATGATTCTTGCCATTGGGGAAACCTCAATGAGACCACCTTCAGTAGAGAACACAAGAGGATCCAAATAAATTAGATCATACAAGGAGGACTGTGCATATGACTAAACCTCCCTAGGTCAAGTTTACTCTTTGGATTGAGTTGCATCCCATTAGAGAAAGACATGATCTGATTTATACCTCAGAAGGTAGGCCAGGGTGAAAGCATGCATGCCTATACCATGGCCTTACAGAAAACTCTAAGCCCTTAATATTTCTATGTTCTTTTAGTCTGTTCATTTTTTATTTTATTTCATTTTCTTTTAATCCAGGACTTCATATTTATGATTCAAAACATACTTGCAATAGCTCAACCAACTCCATTGGACCTCTGTCTTTGAGTCACATTTGCTATATAGTCTCAACTCTAGAAATTCTTAATGCTTTTTCTTTTCTTTTTTTTCTTTTTTTTTTTTTTTTTTTTGACAGAGTCTCACTTTGTTGCCCAGGCTAGAGTGAGTGCCGTGGCATCAGCCTAGCTCACAGAAACCTCCAACTCCTGGGCTCAAGCGATCCTCCTGCCCCAGCCTCCCGAGTAGCTGGGACTACAGGCACGTGCCACCATACCCAGCTAATTTTTTATATATATATATTTTTTTAGTTGTCTGGCTAATTTCTTTCTATTTTTTTTTTTGGTAGAGATGGGGTCTCGCTCTTGCTCAGGCTGCTCTCGAATTCCTGAGCTCAAACCATCCTCCCACCTTGGCCTCACAAGGGCTGGGATTACAGGCGTGAGCCACCAGACCTGGCCCCAAACTCTTTTTTTGCATAGAGACACATCTGTCACAGAAAAAGCCACACACACTCTAATTGCTCCCCTGTGTCTGTTAGCCACCTCCTGCAAGGGGCAAAGCTTTGATTCTAGGGGCTGACATTGGGCCCCACCCCTGGTGGTGCGGGTCGGGCTCCCTTCCTCCGGTAGTGGAGGGCATAGGCTTGTGCTGGGTGGGTAAGGGTTGGAGTGTCCAGTGACCGCAGGGTAAAATCCCGTGCAGGAGAGGTAAGAGAGTCCCCCTCCGAGATGGGAGATGGAGGAGGTTCCGGGAATGCTGCAGGCCATCAAGGAGGGGCTGCCAGGAGAGGGTCATCCAGAATATCTGATGTGACTGTCTGGTACCTGCATGCTACATGAGCTAGGCAACACCTGCCACTATCCCTTGTGTCAGGATCCAAATAAAGGGCCACAAAAGCTTGTACATAAGGGACTACCCCTCACTTTCCCTCTATTCCAAAACAAATCTAAATGTATTCTGGTATCTTAGTTTAGAGAACCATTTCCCGGTCCCATTTCCTGATCTCCTTATTTATTTATTTATTTGAGACAGAGTCTCACTTTGTTGCCCAGGCTAGAGTGAGTGCCCTGGTGCCAGCCTAGCTCGCAGCAACCTCAATCTCCTCGGCTCAAGCAATCCTCCTGCCTCAGCCTCCCCAGTAGCTGGGACTACAGGCATGCACCACCATGCCCGGCTGGTTTTTTCTATATATATTAGTTGGCCAATTAATTTCTTTCTATTTATAGTGAGATAGGATCTCACTCTTGCTCAGGCTGGCCTCGAACTCCTGACCTTGAGCAATCCGCCCTCCTCGGCCTCCCAGAGAGCTAGGATTAGAGGCATGAGCCACTGTGCCCAACCCTGATCTCCTAATTTATATTGAGGACAAGCTGCATTACAATAGAAAATAGGTTTCTTTTTTTTTAATGCTTCCAATTTAAATTTGTCCCAGTTGCTCAGAAGGCACCCTAACGGAGAGTCTTTCAGGATGCTCATGGCTGCCCCCATATTGGAAAAAGGTCCTGACTAGAAACTGGGATCCTCCTAAGTTTTGCAGTAAACAAATGTTCCAGTCTGTTCCATTCCCACCCTCCCTTTTTGTTAAGGAAAGTTAACAAAGCAATCGAGGCTAAACCTTGGAAAGTCGAAGCTGCCACAGCTGCAAAAGTATGAAGAGTGGAAGATAAAAGAGAGACCTAAGGGTTTGGGCAAAAGAAAGGAAGCTAATGGCAGAAGGACAGAGAAATAGGATTTTGAGACTGCAATCAAGTCAAACAAATTGCAAACACAGCCTGCTTAAGAAACCAAAGATAAAGCCCAAGCACAAGATCCAAAATGCATGCCACTGATCCATGTGGCAGTGGTGACATAGCTCAGTTGTGTCCCCCCAAGGGTGAAGTCAACAACCCAAGGGACGGCAGCTGGGGAAATGATAAGTCTTAACTTTAGGGAAGGTAAAAGCAGGTCTTTGGAAATGAGTCGTGGGACAGAAGCAGCAAGAAAAATGCTGACAGTAGGGAGGTTGGCTCAGTCTTCAGAAAGAACGAGACAAAAGCAGGATCAGCAGCTAATACAATTACCTGTCTCGAAGGAAGAGTTCAGCTAATGAATGAAGATCCCTTTTCTAAATGCTGAAAACCCTGGGGCACCCCTAGGCATGTGGCCTGTTTTAGCCAACTGGAGTACCCAAAGGGCCTGTTTCAGCCTCCAAGTTGGGGTCACCAAAACAATGCTCTGGCATCCCACAATAAAGGATCTCACTAAACAGATGGAAAAAGAATTTCAAAGTAAGCAAATGGGCAAAACACAGATTATGCATGCAACAATGCAAAAAAGCACAACTATGCTTTTATGCACCGAAAAGCAAGAAAGGTTAGTGGGTCACAATCTGAAATACAAGCAATTGAGGAGGGAAGTAAAAGAAGAAAGTGAATTATTAAACTCCTGTTTGGTGTGGGAAAATATCCCCACCAACTGCCAAGACAGAGATGACTCAGGCTCCTCATAAGGATAATTTATAATTCAATAATAACACTTAATAATTAGTGAACTCTATTTGCCAGGCATGCAAACAAACTAATGTGGCATAAGCACTTTGTTAAAGCAGAATCTTGACACTAGTGGTGAGTCTCACTGATAGGTAGAGAAGCAGCTGACAGAAACACAAGAACACCAAGAATCACAAGATCCAGACTCAAGCACATTTAGGACAAAAAAAAAAAAAATTAGCTAAAGCCTTTCATCTCTTTGAAGGAGGATTTGCAAAGCTGTAGGAGCAAGATCCTAATTTTGATCGGTTAACAAAGATTTATCCTGTAATTAGGGAGAACATCAGCTGATACAAGGCCATTCAGGACGAAAAAAAATTAACGGCTGTGCAAACTGACTTCATTGGTCAGCTCCCCTCCTCCAGGCACAGAATGAAATCCTGACTCTCGAGCCCCCACTCCATCCTCTCCAGCACGTCTCCAACATCCTCCTCCGAGGAATGTCAGCTGCCTTCTTGCCTCACACATGCCCCTTCCAATAAGCAAGACACTGAAGCAACATTAGGTGAGTGTTAACATTTAATATTTCTTTTGGAAATGTCTCCTCTTCTCTAAACCTTTTGCCTGAGCTCTTTTTTTATGTTCTGTTTGTTTGAATTAAAGGAAAGAGCACAGATTTTTCTGTAACTTCTTATTCCATTGCAGGGGTATTGTTATTATTACAGTACTACACTGTGTAATTATTGCCACATCGGAGCCATTGTAGTACAATTGTAGCATAGTTATTATTATAAATATTAGCATATATGCGCTGCTCGTAAGGATCGGAGGAATTACATATAGATTCCACCTAAAGATGTTCTCCGGAGAGCGTCTCGTCCATAACCTGGCGACCAACTGTATTGCCCTTATTCTTGGGACTATAACTCAAACCTGATTGGGACTCTAACCCAATCAAGATCCCTCTAGAGTGGGACAAAAACTCACAATCCTAGGTGAGGCTGGGATTCTAACCCACAAGCCTTCTGATGAGACTGAAGGCAAGTTAAGATGCAAGTGCACATTAGTGAGTACTCACCCCAAAGACATCTGATTCAGAAATAGCGTATTTGCTCAAAGGTGAAGATTGCATGGAAGATTTCAAAGGGCTGCAGTGAAGAAGCCGGAACCCTACATGCAAACTTCTAGACAAACCCCACTGAGGGGCCATAGGGGATCCACAGGCTTTAGTCACATTTGTGTTGCCAAAATAGTCATCAATCAATGGAATGGCTGTGTGACATTTATAGAAGCCAGGACTATGGCTCCAGCTTGGGGGCAGAGAAAAGGCTTTATTGCAAGGTCAGCTGGCAAGGAAACAGGAGGCAACCCTCAAATCTGTCTCCTCAAGCTGGGGTCTGGGGGCAGGTTTATGGGCAAAGAATAATGATGAAGGAGATAGGAAAATGCAAAGGCATACTCTGATTGAGCTATGCAGAGGAAGTGCCGGGTCCTTGGTTGTTAAGTTCTTTCTGCAACAAAAAGCTAGGCAAACCTCTGTGGAAAAGAATTTGGAGATACCTCAAAGAGCTACAAGTAGAACTACCACTTGATTCAGCAATAGCACTATTAGGCACTTACCCAAAGGAACAAAAGTTCATTCTATAATAAAAACATCTGCACCTGAATATTTATGGCAGCACAATTCACTATAGCAAGGATGTGGAAACAACCCAAGTGCCCATCAATCCATGAGTGGATTAATAAAATATGGCATATGTATACAATGGAATACTACTCAATTACAAGAAACAACAGTGATCTAGCACTTATATTTTTCTGGATAGATGAGCCCATCCTCTGAAGTGAGGTAACACAAGAAGGGAAGAACAGGCACCACATGGACTCGCCATCACTGGCAATGACTGATCAACACTAGTTGCTCACACAGTAGTAACATGCTTTCGGGGTAAGAGGGGTCAGGAGTGTGCAAACTCACAACTATTGGACACGGTGCATGTTGTAGGTGGGAAAGAACATGTCTCAAACCATGGCTTGGGTGTGGCAAAGTCATAACATGTAGCCAAAATGTTTGTCCCCCCATAATTTCCTGAAATAAAAAAAATAAATAAGATCTAGGCAACACTAGCTTCTTAATTTATTCTGCACTCCTTACTCTGGTTATTTGGTTCTGTGTTCTGCTGACTTTATTGCAATGGCTGGCTCAAGGGTCATCCATCAGGCACGCTTCCTTCATCTAGGCATACTGAGATTATGGGAATTGCAACACAGGGGAGAAGAATCCATTGAGGTTACAATTTTTCTGGGCTTGTTATTTTCTCTCACTCTTTGCATCAGTGTTAGCCAGGATATCTGTGGTCAGCTATCCTCTTCTGACTATACAAAGCTTTTGGTATGATTTCCTCTATTATAATACTTTTTCTTACAATCAATAAGCTGATACTTTCCCTAGCTACAACTCCAGTGTGGACCTTCTCTCAAATTTAGAGTCATGTAATTAGCCATCTCCTGGATTTTCTCTTAGGAGAAACAGAGAATAAGGAGAAAGAGGAGGATAAGGAGATAAGAAAGGAGGAAGAAGAGGAAGAGGAGGAGGAGGATGGTGATGAGGAGGACAAGGACAAAGGGGGGGAGGAGGAGGAGGAGGAAGAGCAGTAGGAGGAAGACAGCCTGGCCTAAATATCTCTAATGATAAGAATTCATGGGTTGCCTTCTTAACCATGAATGTAGTGCCACACTCGTGATACAACAGTACTCTTCGTTGATGTTTCCCTTGTAAATGAAAGGTCATGGCATTTTCAAAGAGCATGCTGTCTGGTTACTTAGGATAAGATACCTGTTCTACTTAAATATAAAATATGAAAACATGTGCTGATCCATCAATCTTCTAAAATGGCCAACTCTTCCTGGAGCAGGAGACAATAACAGACAGGAGAAGGTCACTACTGCCTCCAGTCCATCCACTGTGCTTGTTCCTGCTGTCGTGCATAATGCCAACACTTCCAAACTTGTACAAGTGAAAACTGATGTGCAGAATCATGCCTCTGTTTTGGGGTTCCAACATAAGACATAGATGCATTAAGTTTAATTGTAGTGTTTTTTTGTGTATGATAACATGTACAATTTATTCTTACTTGGCAGTTGGTGTTTGGTAGAGCTTTTGGAGCATTAGTTTACTATGAATGTCATAGAAGTACTAGGATAGTGCCTAATATTGTTGATTAAATCCATTAATAAAGAATTAAGCAGGGTTAAGTAGGAAAGTAAGAAAGAGAAAGAAAGAAAGAAAAAGAAGGAAAGAAATAAAGAAAGAAAGAAGGACAAAAGAAACAGAAAGAATAGATGAGAAGAAAAGAAAAATAGAAAGAAAGAGAAGGAAGAAAATTGTTTGACACTTCTAAAATAACTATAGGACTCATGTTTTTAAGAAATTAGACACATTTTAATAGTTACTGAACCCTATATATTATATGAGGGGTTGGATCTGTTTTGCACATGAAAAGAGACTATGTATTTACAATGCTAACAAATCACATGACAATAAATCAAGGATAATTTAAATCTATTTTGACTTGAATTTTCTTTTGCCTTTTATTTTATTTTATTTTATTTTTGAGACAGAGTCTCACTTTGTTGTCCAGGCTAGAGTAAGTGCCGTGGCATCAGCCTAGCTCACTGCAACCTCAATCTCCTGGGCTCAAGCAATCCTACTGCCTCAGCCTCCCGAGTAGCTGGGACTACAGGCATGACCCACAATGCCTGGATAATTTTTTGTATGTATATTTTTAGTTGGTCAATTAATTTCTTTCTATTTTTAGTACAGATGGGATCTCACTCAGGCTGGTTTCAAACTCCTGACCTTGAGCAATCTGCCCACCTTGGCCTCCCAGAGTGCTAGGATTACAGGCATGAGCCACCATGCCTGGCCTTCTTTTGCCTTTTAAAGAAGTGTATATTGTTTGTAGATTGCCCACAAATAGCCAAAATGTCCAGTGAGGCTGGTCAAATGTAGTATAATAGATTTATCCAATAAGTATTTCCTTAACATTGATATAAACTGAAACCATATGTTCTTCTTATGGGATCAAGTCTAAAGACAAATAATAAATGTATAAGTCAATTGTGTCGTTTCTCAAGCTCTACAGGACACAGAGAATGACATGGAGATATTGTTAACGTGCACGTGTCTGGTGCACCTCTAAGATTCCAATTAGAAAAGTTGGGAAAGGGGGAGTAAGCATTTTCATTCCTAACAGGCACCAGGTGATGCTGAATCTGGTGGTCCCAGGTGCCACACTCTGAGTAACAAGGGACTAAGCTGTATGACTTAGCTAAACTTTACCAATGATTTTCTCTTATTCACTCCTAAGTGCACTGAATTATACAACCAGTAGCAAGCAGGTAAATATTTAGGCAGATTATCCGGGAATTTAATGAAAACTCTTTCCTTCTGCACAGAGTAATCATGTCAATGTGTGGCTTTCATGGTAAAATACGAGCCCTTAAAAAAAACACCAGGTGAGTTAATTGAACAATATAAATCATAATTTTCAGGAAAGACACTTGAAATAAATAATGACTTCAGTTTTCTTATGTCAGTAATCACTGTTTACTGGAAAACTGGGCAAACTTTTATAAGTTGTTAGGTATTATTTTTGGCATAGAGTTGTTCCAACTTGAACTTGTATTTGTTAAAATAGAGGAGATGGTGTTGTCCAGTAACAGTTTTATCATTTCAATCATTTCTGTGCTTGGTTTGCTCCAGCAAGCATTTCCTATTGTCTTATTCCCACATGCCTGGACTAACACCGGGATTAACATGTGATGGACCCTTGGCTTCCTAGTGACTTCCTCTTCACAGTCTCCCATTGTAAAATCTCCTTCTTAACTTTTAGTATTTCTAAAGACATATTTTGACATTATTTTCAGTTTCCATAATATGATCTCATAATTGATTGTTATTTCAAATAACAAAAGGGGGATGTCAGTGTGCTTAAATATATCAATCGGTCCCCTAGGGAAGCAGAGCATCTCTCTGGGCTTCAGTGGAGCTTTACCCGACTCTTGACTCCCATCTCGGGTGACAGGTAATATGTTCACATACAATCTATTTTGATGTCTTAGTCTAATGTTTGCTTGTTAATATCAACTGGAAAGCATTTATGAAAATATACATTGTTAATAATCTCTCATAAAGAAAGAATTAAAAGTAATGATGACCCTAGGCTAAGATCTGAAGGTGAGTGCAGGATCTCAATCCCTGTGAGCTGACGTCAGTCATCACAGTACACACTAAATGATATGGAACCTCGTGTGGATGGATTTCAACTTCTCTGTTGGTGGGACTTCCTAGGAGACTATTTCTTTGTCTAAGTATTTGTCACCTATTTTCCTTACAGTTACTCATACATTTAAATTGAAGTTCAAATTGTATTTTTAAGAAATTGTATAATATGTCTTTTTGCAAATTTATGTCATGTTTCAAAGATGTAAATAATTTTGTCAGAGTTACTTATTTCTGTCAGTAATCATTTTTCCTGTTCTTTTAATTGACTTCTTTTATCATTTAAAATAGTTCTTTTCTTCCAAAAAATTAACAATGTCTAACAGGTACAATTCTCTGTGGTACATATTTATATTATTTAACTCATTGTCATTTCATTTGCAATGTGGCAGAAAAGAGAGTTTTTAACATTCCAAACTTTCATCATTGAAGTCTTTGGGAAATATTTCCTCAAAATTGTTAATATATATGTATGTCTATTTATATATCTATTTATTTATTTACTAGAAGAACTACTAGAAGAATTCAACTTTGTTATAACCTTCGTTTGGTCCTGTAATTTCAGTATAACTTACAGACATAGAAAAAAATAAAATTTTCATCATTTTTGTATCAAAAAATGATTGACAGGTTTATTGATTAGAGGATAGAAAAACTTCAAGAAATATGTAATTCTTATCATTTGTCTAATACTAGAGCATCATTGTAAATCATGTGGCAATATTCACTAATAATACACAAGATAAATGCTATATATCATGAGTCCTTTATGTGTGACAGATTTAGAGTTATTTAAGAGAATAGGGATTTTTTTCTATCATTAGATGAAAAGTGTGGTATAATATTCTATCACAAATGATAGGCAAAAATGACCAGAAAAATAAAAAGCTATCGTCTATGAACAAATTACTTCACAGTTTGAAATTAACTGGTAACTATGCCATGTATTTGTAAATTTTGTGGCATTTTGTGTTTTCCATTGAAAATGTTTTATTTACATGTTCATAATTTATAAATAAACTGCTATTCTTTTTTTTTTCAACACCAACACAACTGGGTTCTCTTGCATATACAGAATTATAAAAATATATCAGAGGCCCAGATTATTTGGTTGAATGAATTTGGTTGAATAAGATTATTTGAATTGTTAAATCATTTTCACTAATTGAATTGCTTAAAGTATAACAGCTACAAATATTTTTCCTGGGACTTCTTTTTTCAATTGATTTCTCTCTACCCAACATTCTTATGTTCTCATCCCAGGCTTACATCCTCCATGTAATTTTCAAGACACAAACCTGGCTCATTTTGACTGACTTTGTTTTAAAGCCAATCTCCACTGCTTATCACTGTACTGTCCAAACATCTCTTTAGGCTGTGCCTTAATTGCCTTTCCTGAGGTCATTATCTAAGTTCCCTGTAATGTCACAACAACCTGAGTGTTCATCTTGTTTCTAGTTTTGTCTTCCCTACAAGGTGAACTCTGTACTTTCAACACAGCATCCTTTCTCTTTTTCATGTCCTGGAAGTCTCCCAACATCTCTGTCTATTGATCTCTTACAACGCAACCCAAACTTTACCCTCTTCTTCATTTGCTTGGTCTGCTTAAGATGTCCATCTGTATGTTTCTCCAGCACTTCACTATTTCCACGTCAAAGCACTTAGCTTTGCTTATCAATGCTCCCTACCAATTGCTACATTTCTGTATGTCTGGCAATGGGTTTCAGTTGTCTTTGAATCTCAGTATGTCTCACAGTGCTTTGGAGCATAGCGTGATCCATGCATGTTTGAAGAGTGAATGCAGGAAGAAAAGTTCTTCTGATTTCTCACATCTGCTTTCACAGGACGCAGCCAAATATGAAGTTCTTTGTGTTGGCCTTGATCTTGGCCTTCGTGGTGTCCATGACTGTAAGTATATCAGGAAATTTTAAGAATATGTTCTCAGTAACTATCCCAAGAGTCTCTTTTTTATTCCCTGCTAAATATTAACATTTACCTGTTTTCTGGCTTTATAAGTTTTAAGGTTTTCCTATGGACATTTTCCTTGTGTTCAAGTATATGAGTTTCTTAAGGACTTAGAATAAATATTCAGTATGCACCTGCAGTTACTCACGTGCAATTCGTTTAATGTGAAAACAAAAATGTAGAAGACCTTCATAGATATGGGGCTGGGAGCTCATAAAATAGCTTCAAATATAAAAAGTTATGTCTTCTGAAGTCAGATATCTGACAAAAGTACAAGCTGCATTTAAAAGAGACTCAAGTATTGAAGAATGTCAAAAAAGAAATATTCAAGTCATTTTTTGTACAAACTGGATGTTAAAATCAGATACAATAACAGTGTTTCTAAAATAAAGTTGCTTATTTTTAACATAAAATAAATCTCTAGTTCTATGCAATGCCACAAGTTTCCAGCTTATATTGTCATTTATTACTGTGTGCCACTAGGTAAAGTACTGGACCTCTCTGGAACTCCTTCCATTTCTCTACCTCTTCCTCCTGTCCTCTTCCTCTTACCCCTCCTCCTCCTCCTCCCTGGCCTCCTTTTCTCTGTATGAAGTTACTAGGAAAGTGGTCACAAAAGAATAATAATACTTCAACTAATTCTCTATATCCTAATAGAAGTTGGAAAAAAAGAAATTTGCTATGAAATCACATCTTATGACATCCTTTTGTTGTAAAAGATAGAAATGAAAAATATAAATATCTTAGAACAGAGAAAAACATAATGTTGGTATCTATTAGCATATCAAATACTTGAATGTTAGTAGCTATGAGCTACTTAAAACATGTTCATATAAAAACAAATTCAAAGTTTCATTTCACTTTTCACTCCCTATTCATCCTGACATAGTTTTCCTTCCTTTTACTCACAAAAGAAATATAAACCAAAGTGAATTGATATTTGAATATCACATATTAATTATACAAAAAGCCTATTCCACTCATATTAAAGATATCATTAAACAAAAATATCTAGTTTAGTGTATCATCTACGTAACACTGTGTGTCCATCTGCTTAGTCATTGTGGCTACTAAGTATATTTTAATACTCAATCTTGAATTACAAAATTAAGATATTTAACTATTCTCTCATTTTTTTTCCCCAAGAGAGCCGATTCTTCATCTGAGGAGGTAAGATATTTTCATTTGGCACAAAACACTCAAAATATGAATTGAATTTTTAATGTTTTCTACATTTGTCACATGTATATAATAGGGGAAGAATCTGTAATTACTATGGTGTAAGTAGTCTTCTGATAACATTGTGTAGTAAAACAAGTTTTCTTCTCTGAGAATTTATTTTCCCTGAGGAATCAACAGTGGCTAAAGTGCTCATTGATTTCATTGATTTAAAATATACTGGCAAAAGTCTCAAATATCTTGTATCCTAATAACATTTAGATGGAAAACCAAAATGCCACTCTGAAAAGCCAATTATTCTCTGAGAACTAAAGCATTTTTGTCTGGTAAATAATTGCATTGACCTAAAGGATAGTTGAAATTCTGTTAAATATAATACATGCTAAATGGAGCATAGAGGCTGCTAATGAAACTGTAATGCAGTACATTTCCACTTTCAGATTTTTGAAAGTGATAGAGTCATTAGATTAAACAGAATATACTTGGTGATAAAGCACCTCTTACGTTTTCCTGGATAAAGCTGGAACCCATTCTACTAAGTGAAGTATCTCAAGAATGGAAAAACAAGCACCACATGTACTCACCAGCAAATTGGTATTAACGGATCAACACCTAAGTGGAGATATAAGAATAGCATTTATCAGGTGTCAGGCAGGTGGGAGGGGGAAGAAGGGAATGGGTATATACATACACAATGAGTGAGATGTGCAACATTTGGGGGATGGTCACGCTTGAAGCTCTGACTCAAGGGGGTGGGGGGGCATGGGCAATATACCTAACCTTAACATTTGTACCCCTATAATATGCTGAAATAAAAATTTAAAAAAAGAGAAAGCAACAGGAAAAAAAATAAAAAATAAACAATATGCTAAATACGATAGGAAATGTTATTCCTTTAACATTTTAATTAATGTATCAATCCTCAAAGTTTCATATTATTTTGATGTGTCATACCAATCTGATAGGGTTTCAAAAGTTCTTCTTATGAATACAGTGATTACCTGAATAAAAAGGACACCAAATAAAGGGATGCAGAAGTAGGAATGATGGACATGATTAATCAAAGGGACTATTAAAGAATGTAGTTGTTTTAAGAGTCAGTAAGTACAATGTAAGAGAGAGAGAGACTTCACCAAAGTTGGAACTAGTACATTTATCCTTGCCACAATACATAATAATGGACAAAGTAAAGCTTATCGTTTCTACTATTATAAAGAACATTAAACGCTTTGTAGTGCTTGCCTATAATCAGTGTTCTCACAAATATCACAAAACCATAAAATTGTCAATAGAGAGTAAAAAGATAAATATTTATGATGCTTAACTTCCTGTATTATTTTTTTCTATTATAAAAAGAAAAATCTAATTACAAGTTTGAACACCCATCATGTAGATGATGTATTTATGGTCTGAACATAAAGTTGTTAAAATATAGTCTAAGATTTTAATGACAGTTATTGTGGAACACTTGCACTGACAATTCTCAATTCTCTGCAATTTCCTCTGAATGTTGTGTATATGCAGAGATGGCCCCGCTATCCACCGTATGAGCCGCCATATCCACAGCCATATCCACAGCCATATCCACTGCCATATCCACAGCCATATCCACAGCCATTTGCACCGTCATTTTTTCAGCCAGTATTTAGGCCACGTCCAGCATTTCCTCCGGGGGTCATTCCATTTTAAGATGATGTTCAACCACCACAGGACGTGATCACAAGGTGAGCTGGTTCTAGTGATATTTTTACTCTCCAGAAGTAGCAATGCTGACAGGCAGAAGAAGAAACACAAACAAACAAAGGAGCCACCAAACCAACCACAGCCCTGGTTTAAATGACTTATCCTGGGGCTCCTGGAAGCATGCTCATTCAGTTCTCCCAGGGACTCTAGAGGAGGCTTCTGCGCTGCTGTGGGGAAGGAGGCAGATTCCGGCCAGGAGAGCCCCGTCTTGGGATCCTGGCCCTCACGGCTACTGCTTCCATGACCTCAAACCGTTCCTCATTCTCTCTACACCTCTATTTGCTCATCCACAAAACAGATACAATGTGGATATAATAATGCTGAGCCAGTTTCCAGAACTGGTGAGACTATTGCAAGATCTGTAACATAAAAGCCCTTGAGCTGGCGTATGTTTGTGACTGCAGGCTGCTCTGCCACCAAGTCTGTCCCTGAATGTCGTTTAAATCTTTCTCCCCTAAAATGGAACCTTTGCAATAGTCACGCAAGCGCCAGCCGGGGACTTTCGATACATTTAGAATTAAGCTAAATTCAGAACAAGGGAATCCCCATTTGCTTTTTAATAATATCCTGATAAGATTCATAGCACAATGAGTGTGAGAAGTGTCACCCTAAGTAATTCTAATGAGTGATTATAATAGGCACCACTAATGTAGTAAGGAAGAGCTATGGAAATGGGATCCTTATCCTTTGCAGAAAGTCAATTTTACCTATTGAAACACAACATTAAATGTTCCAAATACTATGAGACACGAAATAGTTTTCTACAAAATAAAACAACGCTTTTAAAGATACTAGAGGACTGCTCTATAATTTAAAGTTGTAATACTTCCAACATTTAATTGTTTCTAACTGCATATGAGGATTTCATATCCATTAAATATCATTGTTCCATTAGTGACATGGGGAAGAGTCTGAACTTGATCCTCTAAGCATTAGGTAAGAGCCGATGACATTTAATCGAAGAAGTATATTGAAATTATTATTTTGAAAAGAAAAATACAAATGAAATTATAGGCTATATTTAAGCAAGAGACTGAAATAGGTTAGTGTGAGAATATCCGTAGAAAATAAAAATGTAAATTTCAGATACCAGCTAATAATTTGTGTTTATTCAGATAGCCCTTTGACAAGTATTTAATTGTCTACTCTGTGTCAGGTACTATTTTGGGCACTGCATTATATTAACTAAAATAATCCATAACTAGCTACTCTCAACCAGGCCAAAATATAAGTATATTTGCAGAAGTATAAATTTCAGAGATGATCTGTTATTTTCTTTTTCTGTACAGGTTTGACTGGCAAATCCAATTTCTGCACGTGTATTCTCATCCCTCATGACACATCACATGGCCATTATATTTTGGCAGAGTTATAAAAAAACCAATGTGGAATGAAAGACGATGATTTGGTTTATTCTCTGTGTACCCTGATACTTGTTTTCCTACTTGATCTTTCATCAGAGAGCTGCAATTTCCAACTGTTAATCTCTTTTCCATGCAGTCTCTGACTAATGTAAATCCGTTCTTATTCTAACAGCAATAAATTGGAAGTGCATTCTTATGTCTATGTCCTTTATTTCTACTTTTCATAGATAGAGACGAACTTGACATAACTGTTCCTTTAATCACTTGCTTTGCCCAGGTTGAGGAGCACTTACTGAAGCTCTTCCTATGCGAGTTCCTTTGAAGTCAAGGGCTTATGATCTATTCTGTCCTATTTTGTGTCTTCCAAATATGTGATCGCCAGCCTCAGCTGGATCATTTGATTTATTCATTCTAACATCTGATTTGCTCCTGCTTTCCTTTGCCACAGCGCATTTCCTAAGCCCCCAAGCTCCGCCCATTTCCCATCTCTGTCCCTACAGGCCAGAAGGGAGCCCATGTCCCTCCCCAGCAGTGGCAGACACTCAGAACACAGTCCCTCTAGTGGCCTCCTTGGGTGGTGGCAGCAAGGACTTTCACTCAACAGGTGGTGCTTGAGGGACACTAGCTGGCAGGCTCTGTTCTGTGTGCTAAAGCAGTGACAGGCAGGCTGGGCAGAGAGGCAATTTTCAATAGCACTGTCAAGAATAGTCCCTCTGGCATTTCGCAGTGGCCATTTAAAAAAGATATAGCTCAGTACGGGAGTGGGCATGGGGAAAGACATGTTCCAGCAGAGGGAAGAGCAAGTGCAAATCCATTGGGGTCACAATGTCTTTGTTGCGCTTGGGGAAACTTCAAGGAGACCAGCATGGATAGAGAAGGCAAGGAGAGGATCCAAATAGATTAGGTCACAGAAAAAGAGCTGTGCAGATGATTAAAGCTCTGCAGGTCAAGTTTACCCTCTGGATTGAAAAGAATGCCATTGGAGAAAACACGATCCGATTATATTTTGGAAAACAGGCAAGGGTTGAAGTTTACATACCTGTACTTTGGCCTGACAGAAACCCATAGGCCCTTCATATTTCCATTTCCTTTCTTCCTCTCTTTCCATTCTTTATTTCATTTTCTTCCAACCCAGGACTTCATATGGATAATTCAATGTATCCTTGCAATAACTCAAACTCCAAGGAACCTATGGCTTTGAGTAATCCTATATTAATCCTTATAATTCTTGAATTTTCTTGCACAATTGCTCTACTAAGACATCTGAAATCTACGGAATAAAAAAGTCACCTTATATTTTCTAAATGTTGAGTACAACATGACTTTCCAAATTTTTTCCTTGTCTTTGGTCCTATACATTTCACCCATTTACTCTAATAAACTTTCCAAATATATCATTTGTTTTCTAAAGGATCCAGTTCATTTCTGTGAGTAGTCAATTCCAGAAAACATACTATTACTATATTTTAAGGAAGTTTATCTCTTCAGCATAACTTCCATAAACTTCCTAATCTCCCTTTTCTACAAATTAGTATATGTGTCCAAATTTCTAATTCTCTCCTCAAAGTCTTAAAACTTGAGTTGATCTCTATGTTTTCCAAAGATATTTTATCATTGTTGTTTCTTTTGCATTTTCTCTTTTATTCTTAGAGTTATTTTTTAATTAATATCTTTCTAATCAAGATTATGTTAGTAAAAATAATAATTATAATACATAATGTTTGCATTTCAACAATTTGTATTTGTATGTTTTCATTTAGTCCATTGTCACATATTTATTATAACACCTTCTAGGTATCAAAATTGTAGCTTAAAGAAATTAAACAAACTCCAAATTCCCTGAAAAATTTATTCATTGTGACCAGCCTTTCCTCTTTGAAAATTCATCCCCTTTGCTTCCACAATACATAAATTGCCTGGAAATTCTCCCCTCTTTTGTTAGACTTTTTCTTCTGAGATTTTCCTGGGCTTTCTATTTACTCTCACATATTATATCAGTCTTATCTATAGGATCTGTCCTTGGCCTTTCTTTCCTCTGACTCTAGACATCCTTTGTGGTATATTTTCACTGATTATTCTAGATTTGGTTACAATCAATAGGTCATAGGTATCAAGTCTTCAAGTCCTGTGTGGAACTTCTCCTCCTAAATTTAGTCTCACGTTATTAACATTACCTCCAATTTCTTTATTTGTAGTTGCCTTTAACTGTTTCTATTTTAGAAATCATACAGTAAGCCTCTCGTAGCAGTCCCCCCAGCAGCGAATGAGTCTTCCTCTCTCTCCACATCCATACCATCTGCTGTACTGGGACTTTTTGGTAAAAGCCATTCTCACTACAGTTAACTTATATCTAATTGTGGGTTTGATTTACATTTCTCTGATGAGCAGAGATGTTGAGCATTTTTTCATTTCATTGGCCATGAGTCTGTCTTCTTTCAAAAAATTTCTGTTCATGTCCTCTGCCCACTTTTTAATGGGCTGTTTGATTTTATTCTCTCTGATTTTCCAGAGTTCCATATAAATTGTAGTTATCAGCCCTTTATTGGATATATACCATACAAATTTTTCTCCCATGCTGTAGGTTGTCTGTTTGATAGTTTCTTTGGCTGTGCAGATGCTTTTTAATTTGATTAGGTCCCATGTCTTTATTTTTGCTTTTGCTGTGATTGTCGTTGGGGTCTTCTTCATAAATTCTTTACCTGGACTGAAGTCTATAAGACTTCCCAACATTTTCTTCTAAAATCTTATGGCTGCATGCCTTAACTTTAAGTGTGTTATCCACTGTGAGTTGATTTTTGTTGAGATATAAGAGATGTGGATCCTGTTTCATTCTTCTACATGTGACTATCCAATTTTCCCAGCACAATTTATTCAATAGGGATTCTTTTCCCAAATATATTTTTGTCAGATTTGTCAAAGTTCAGATGGCTATAGTAGGATGGTTTTATATCTGGGTTCTTAGTCCCGTTACATTGACCTATGTGTCTGTTATTCTCCCAGTCAATGCTGTTTTGGTTAGGATAGCCTTGTAGTATAGCTTGATGTCTGGTAGATTGATGCCTCTCAATTTGTTCTTTTTACTTAAGGTTGCTTTGGCTATGCTTGGTCTTTTTGGTTCCATACATACTGTAGAATTATTTTTTCTACATCTGCGAGAAATGGTGTTGGTATTTTAATAGGGATTGCATTGAGTCTGTAGATCTTTGAGTAATTACTTTGGTATTTCTTTGGGTAATAGAGACACTTTAACAATATTGATTCTGCTGATCCATGAGCATGGTATGCTTTTCCATCTGTGCATATTCTCTGCAGTTTCTTCCCTCAACGTTTCCTAGGTTTTGCTATATAGGTCTCTTACCTCCTTAGTTAAATACATCCTTAAGCATGTTATTTTCATTGATGCTATTGTGAAAGGTGTTATATCTTTGATCTCATTCTCAGCTTGACTCTTTTTGGTGTATACGAAAGCTATTAATTTGTATCCATTGATTTTGTAGCCCGAGACATTGCTGAATTCATTCATCAATTCTAGGAATCTCTTGGTTTGAACGTTTGGGGTTTTCTATTTATAATAACATATCATCAGCAAATAGTGATATTTTGACCTCTTCTTTCCCCATTTGGATATCCTTGATTTTCTTCTCTTGTCTGATTGTTCTGGCAACAACTTCCAGAACTATGTTGAATAGAAGTGGTGACAGTCCTAAGTGGGAATGCTTTCAATTTTTTTCTGTTCAGTATGCTGTTGACTGTGGGTTTGTCATATATTCCTACTTTATTAAGAGTTCCATCTATTCCTACTTTATTAAGAGTTCTTATCATAAAAGGGCGCTGAATTTTGTCAAATGCCTTTTCTAGGTCTATCAAGAGGATCATATGATCTTTGTTTCTGCTTTTATTTATAGAGTGAATTACATTTATAGATTTGCATATATTGAACCATCTTTGCATCTCTGGGCTGAAGCCCCACTGGTCATGATGAATTATGTTTTGATGTGCAATTGAATTCTGTTTGCTAAGATTTTACTGAGAATTTTTGCTTCTATATCATTAAGGATATTAGTAAGTAGTTTCCTTTTTTGTTGTGTCTTTTCCTGGTAATCCTGGCTTCTTTGTATGTTTGGTAATATTCATGTTATAACCCTTCTGGTCCAGGACTTTTTGTTGTTGAAAGATTTTTTATTCATCTTTCAATTTCAGTGCTTGATATTGGTGTGTTCAGGGATTCTATTTTTTCTTGATTGAGCTTTGGGAGTTTGTGTCTTTCTATGAATTTGTCCATTTCCTCCACATTTTCAAATTTGGGGGCATAGAGATTTTTTAGTATTCAAAGATGATGTTTTATATTTCTGTGATATGGGCTGTGACTTCTCCTTTTTTATTTCTAATTGAGCTTATTTAAGTCCTTTCCTTTCTGTTTCTGGTCCATCTGTCAAGAGACCAGACAATTTTCTTTATTTTTTTGAAGAGCCACCTTTTTGCTCCATTAATCATCTGTGTAGTTCTTTTGTTGTGAATTATGTTTTGCTCTGCTGTGACCTTAATTGTTTCTTTTCTTCTGCTGGGTTTAGCATTGATTTGGTCTTCCTTTTCCAATTTTCTGAGATGGTTCATTAGATTGTTGATTTGGGATCTTTATGCCTTCTATATATTTATGGGTATGAGTTTTCCTCTCAGAACTGCTTTTTCTATATCCCACAAATTTTGATAACTGTGTCCTCATTATCATTTAGTTCTATGATTATTTTAATTTCCATCTGTATCTCCTCCTTGACCCACAATCATTCAGTAATAGGTGGTTTAATTTCTATAACTTTGTGTAGAGATGAGTGTATTTGTTAGAATTGATTTCTAACTTTATTTCACTGTGCTCTGAGACGAAATATGGCATAATTTCTATTTTTAAATTTGTTGAGATCTGTTCTGTGGCCTAGGATGTGATCAAGTTTAGAGACAGTTCTATGAGTTGAAGAGAAGAATATATATTCCGTGTTATTTGGGTGGAATGTTCTGAAGATGTCTGTTAGGCCCATTTGTTCTACAGTTCTGTTGAAGTCCATTGTTTTTTTGCTTATTTTCTGTTTGGCGAATC